GGGGGGGGGGGGCGGGGGGCGGGGGGGGGGGGGTGGGGGGGGGGGGGGGGGGCGCGGTGAAGGGGCAAATGACAAGAAATACCCTTCCAGGGCACACTCCCAGTGACCTATTTCCTCCAATTAGGCCCCACCTCCTATAATTTCCACCACTCCCAATAATGTCATCAACTTGCGAAACCATCAATGAATTAATCCACTGAGGATGTTAGAACGCTTATGATCTAATCAGTTCCCCAGATTCTCACACCTGGACAGTGTTGCGTTGGGGACTAAACCTTTAACACATGAGCCTTTAGGGGATATTCCAGATCCAAACCATAACAGTCATGATATTTAAATTTATATTTTAAATTTATAAGAATTATTTAGGTACTTGGAAGTATTTATCAGAAAGTTGAAGAACTTGAAAAATGAACACATTAAATTTACAAATACAGTTTTAAATGGGTATATGTATTTAATTGACTCCCGTATTACTGTAGTTGCTAGTCTTGTAAATAGATTAATAAAATTTATTAATTGAACTTGAAAGCTTAAGACTAACTAGACTTCAATAGTTGAAGTTACTTGAATAAATAAAACCAAACTGTGAATGCTCTCCTTGTGCGGGGAAGCTGCCTCAAAGACACTGAAATACATCAACATATAGATGTTTTTGCCCTCATCTTTCAATGAGGGCAATGAGAGAGGAGTGGAAACCAGCATAGACAGGAGGCACTTGACTTGGCAGAATACAGCAAAGGTCAATCCTGCAGATTGCACCAAGGCTTAGAAATTAACCAAGTGTTTAGGAAGGCAGGTGACAAGGGGGCTGAAGACTGATGGAATGTTTGAAAGTTGGTATAAGGTGCAGCTGGACCCTGGACTTCTGTATCCATCAGCCCGCCCGAATCAGAAATGGAAATCTAAACAAACCCAAGAGGCTCTGGACCCAGGAACACCGTACCTAGAAGAGAGCAGGGGAGGAGTGGCCAACAATGGAGGTGAGTCCCCTGGTTCTCTCCCTTGTCCAGCTCCTGAATGCCAGATCTGTTTCTTACCCCCATGTCTTCCTTTTCTGTTTAAGTAAGCTTGAGTCCGTTTCTATATATGAAACCAAAAACCCTGACTAAAATAAAATTTTGCGGTAATTTCATTGATATGTCTCTATCCCCTGCCCATAGGGATAGTTCCATGTTTGATTTTGCTCATCATTTTGCCTACAGAATCTGTTATAGTGCCTGTCACTTAGTGGGCACTCACTAAATGTTTATTGAATAATTGACTGGATGAAGCCTTCTTCATATCTTATACATGGTCCTCACTGTAATAATATACTATATATAAGAATATATATAGCCGGGCACAGTGGCGCACGCCTGTAATCCCAGTGCCTTGGGAGGCTGAGGCAGGAGAATCATGAGTTCAAAGCCAGCCTCAGCAAAAAGAAATTTTCACTAGTAATGCAATGAAACCCTGTCTCTAAATAAAATACAAAAAAGGGCTGGGGATGTGACTCAGTGGTCAAGTGCCCCTGATTTCAATTCCCAGTATCAAAATAATAATAATAATAAGAAGAAGAATAAGAATAAGAATAGCTCAGTTTCAAAATTTGTCACATCAAATTGAATTAATTTGTTTAAATGTGTTTTCCCTATTAGAATATAAGATCAAAGACTAACAGAATTTGATTAGATATCCTATCTTGTTCATTAAAAAAAAAAAAACAGTTCCTAGGTAGGGTCTAGTATATCATAGGCAGAGAATTAATGAAGGTGGGAAGGAGGGAACATATGACAGATATTATGTTACCACCAAATACACAGTAAAAAAGATGGTGCTCCTTGCCTTGAAGGGGTGCACTGTGTGGCGAGGAAAATAGGTAACCATTATTAGAAGTGGACATTTGTTAGCACATCATGTGTTTTGAAGAGGATGAGAAGACTTCATGGAAGAAAATGAGAAACCAGCAGGCAACGGAGCTGGGAACTTCATGGCAAAAGGCAGTAAAATGTGAAAATCATGGCATTAGAGAAAATACAGGAACAACATATCACAGTGAGGGGCTAAGGGATGCAGCTCTGGTAGAGCACTTCCATAGTGTGTGTGAAGATCTGGTTCAATCCCCCAGCATCTCAAAAACAATAAAGCAACAGAAAGATTGTTCAGTCTATGGTCTTGGATTGCCTTTAAGAAGTTGTGTTAGAAAGTCAACAGTAGGTTAAGAAAACTTGTCCAGCCAGGCGCGGTGGCGCAAGTCTATAATCCCAGCAGCTCAGGAGGCTGAGACAGGAAGATTGCGAATTCAAAGCCAGCAACTCAATGAGACCCTGTCTCTAAATAAAATACAAAATAGGGCTGGCGATGTGGCTCAGTGGTCGAGTGTCCCTGAATTCAATCCCCGGTATCAAAACTAAAAACAACAACAACAAAAAACACCTTGTCCTTTGGAAACCAAGGTCAGAGTCAAGTGGTTTTATGATTAGAAAAGGATTATGTTTTCTGATTGGTGGACTGAAAAATGAACTGGGTCTGCTTAGATTCTTGCTGTCTCCTTCTCCCCCATCCCTCCCCAGTGCTGGGGACTGAGCTCAGGGTCTTATAAATACTAAGCTGGCTCTGTACAACTGAGCTATACCTCTAGCCCCTTCTCTACTTATTTTTCTCCT